TCTGTTCAGAAATTGTTGAAAGCTAGTGGCATTAATTCTGGCCTTTCTATGTCTGTCAAACAGTTTATGACAGTCCATCGCGGTTGGTTGTGCGCTTGGCTAACGCTAGTCATCATCATTCAAGGTCGTTTCGGATGGTACAAGGTGAAAGATATTTTCTGGAGGTGAGGTGATTTGAACATCACCTCCAATATGATCTATATATTTTAGTATGTATCATTATCATGTGTATTATTTCGTTAAACACCGAAAAGGTGCTTGTAAGATGTTTAAGTTATTTTTAGAAATAATAAAGTTTTATGTTCCATATATTATGTTTAGTTTTTTGTGATCATATACTCAGTATAGTATAGTAGTATCAGTGGGTGGGACAAGGGGCATCAGTTATTATAATCCCTTCCACCCAATTTTGTCTAGGACACACTATTTCTACTAGTGTTTTCTAGTAGTAGAAATAGTGTGTCCTAGATTTTGTTTCCCCAAATCTTATCCAATTTAGATGCTGACATGAAGTCTGACCACTTTTGTAATAAACTACTATCGGTTACCCACTTTTGTAATAAAAGCGGTTGATTTTATTACAAAAGTGGTGAGCTATTACAAAACTGGTCGTTATTACAAAAGTGGTTCCTACAACATGTTTTGCATCTACTGGACAAACATAGAGCACTTCTTAAACCTGGAGGTGCTTCTGCATAAAACCTGTTTTTAGCTGCTATCTGTGCTAAGGTGGAATTTTTTATGTTTCGTAAAAATTGTTTAGAGTACCCACGCTCTTTCAGTTTTGAGAAAACAATTGTACAGGCTTGGTTGAAATCAGAAGATCTTGTACAAATTCGATGAAATTTTAAAACTTGTGACTTAATTATACCAGAAAAGGTATGTTTTGAGTGAAAGGAGCTCTTGTGCAAGAGTTGATGAGTATCAGTTTCTTTGAAATACACTTTAATATCCAGTTTATTTGTTTCTGCTATGGAATCTCCCTTAAAGACTGTGGTATCGAGAAAGTCTATGCTTTTGTCACTCACGTTTGCGGTTAGTTTGATAGAAGGATGGTGGTTGTTGAGAATTTCAAAGAATTCCCAAAACTGTTCGATAGATTAAGTCCAAACCATTAAAATGTCATCCAAAAAGCGTCCGTAAAAAAGTGGGTAAAATGGACAGAGGGGCAACACCTCACCTTCCCACTCTGCCATGAAAAGTTTTGCGTACGAAGGGGCGAATCGTTTGCCCATTGCTGTCCCTGAAGTTTGTAAATATGTTTTACCATTAAATGTGAAATCATTTCGACTAAGACAAAAGAAAAGAAATCGTGCGCAAAACTGGAGACTGTTCGGACGATATTCACGACTTTGACGACGAAATAATGTTAGCCATTTTTCCATGAGGACAAGGTGAAGGCCGTAGAAATTGTAAATATGGGCTTCGTAAATTTTTCTCTATATTCACGACTTCCTAAAGTAGTAAATACGAAAAAAACCTACTATCGAACGGAAATTCACAACATTAACCCTGTGAACACGGTAATCACGAGAGGTATCGAACGCAGCATTAATATCACTTTCGCTTTCAACAGCAGCATGGCTTCCAATGTTGTTGAACGCGAATTTGACACAAAATTATTAGATAACTGTTTGGAGAACGCGTGGAAATGGGAATGGCTAAGCAGAAAGTTGACAAAGAACTTATTGGTCGATTTATCAGGAAAATTAACAGAAAAAGAGTTGCACATTATATCTTGTATAGAAAGGACATAAATTTTGCGAGGTGCCTTGACATTCAAATTTTCCGTTTTTTTTTTTAATAGCCAAAATCATGTCTGCTTTAGGGATTTTGTTCGAGATAAACCATTCCTTGGTTGGATTCATTTGGATTTTAGGCAAAGTGTACACATGTCTCTCTTGCGACAATCAGGTTTGGCAGACAGATAGTCATATTGTTTCTGTTTGAGATAACTAGTTTTGACTCAATCGGCAAGAATATTATTACTCATGTTAGCAGTTTCTTTGAAATTGGTTGATTCTCTGCTTCTGAAACGTAATCCTCCCTATTCAGAATGACATAACATGAACCTTTGTCACTCTTTTTAATAACAATGCTATCGTCTTTCTTAAGTAAGTTGAACGCTTCACGTTCCACTCGTGTCAGATTAGGCTTTTCGTGTGTTATGGAAAGGTTCGCTGTTTGGCTATTCATACTCGCAAATGCTTTTCAATATTTCAGGATCGATGGCGGCCTAAGGGGGTGTCCACGTGGATTTAGGAATAAACTTTGTTCTAGCACCACGTGGGGGTGGTTTCGAAAAAAATATGTGCAGCTAAGATTTTGTTGAAATTGTTCAATGGATGGTCGGAGATAATTTAAGTTAGCTATCTTTGGTGTGGGAATAAACTTAAGTCCACGGTCTAAGATTGAATGCTGAAGGTATGTGAGAATTTTGCAGTTCAAGTTAACTACAGTTTGGCCTAGCGGTGGCCTCTCAGTATTTTTATCACCAGTAATTAGTTTAAAGACTTACTCGATGCTTGAAGCTGGTGTATCCAAAACAAATAAATGCTGTTTGCTGTTTCTGGAGACCAATAAAGATTATCAACTGGTTCGAATTCTTCTTCGTAGGGTGGTAAGATTGTTGCGCTGTTGATACTGGACTCCATCATCATGTTGTTGAGGGTGCTGAGGTTCTGTTGTGCTTTCTTCGAGATTTTATTTGAAATGGGTATACATGTGAAGAGGATCTTGGAGTTTGGGAAGGTTTTGTTGGCTGTAGCGATTAATTTCTGGGCTTGGTTAAAGGAGGTCTTTGGTAGCCGTTCACGGTTACTAAATTCAGATGTTCAAACCATGACCTTGCAATTGAAACTGGTAGGTGGCAAAATAAAGATAAGAATGACAGAATATGTGTATATTGTAAAAATCACCAAGTTATAGTGATGGAAGAAGAAATCCACTCATTAATAAAGAATGTAAATTGTATGATAATATAAGAAATGAATTACTTCCTGATGACAAAGTTTATTTAAGCAGGGGAGAATCTACGTTAAATGTTAAATGTTATGTCTAACCAAACTCGTATGAATAATTTAGCATCGTTTTTGTATAAATCCTATATAGTCAGAAAGACATTAAAACACTTCAAAATTTATTTGTGAACACAATAGAGACTACAGTTTTCAAATGATTTTAATAAAATTTGGTGTGATCATTCATATTGATGAGATCTTGGTCAAGTTCGAATTTGACGATCTTTCGACAAACGGTTTTTAAGTTATTGCCCTTGATTTAGGAAACATGCATCAAAATTTGTTTGTGAACACTATAGAGACTACAGTTTTCAACTGATTTTAATGATTTGGCGTGATCATTTACATTGATGAGATCTTGGACAAGTTCGAATTTGATATTTCACTGAACGATCTTTGAGTTATTGCCCTTGACTTAGGAAAAACATGTCAAAATTTGTTTGTGAACACATGAGACTACAGTTTTCAATTGATTTTAATGAAACATGGTGTGATCATGTATATTGATGAGATAATTTGATGTATTTGCATTATTGATATTGATTTTTAAAAATTTGGAATTTCTCAGCATAAATAATTATTCTTTTAAGAATCATTTGATTTAAATGGTGCACCATTTTAGGAGGTTGATATTAGTCTTGAATATATGTAAATAGTCTTTAGAAGTACTAGAAATGTACGAAAATTGTATAATTCCTTTAAAAGTACTTCAAACTAGGAATTTTACTCACTAATTCTATATATGTTTTTTCTATATATCACAGTGAATTTTAAATTGACGAGTCGTAATGTAAACATTTTAACGCATATAATTCTGGACAAACATGGATTTGAAGGCTCTAATTTCAGCGGTGAGCTGTAAACACTATTACTGATTAGCTTAGCTAAAAAAAATCCCTTTCTGATATTAAAGTCTGGTAAAAAAAAAAGGGCACTTCTGTCCCTTTAAAATCTGTCCCCTGACATTTCTAGGAATCTATACATTCAACTATTTAATAATAAACTAGTGTATATATTAGTCTCAATACATTATATTAGCTTTCTGTACATTATGAAGTCAATAATTTTATTAATTTGTATTATTTACTTTATTTGAATTGAATAAATTTATCAATAAATTGTTAAATCTGTCTTGGAATTTTGATAAATGCTGATGTTAAAGCATTTCAATTGCTTGTAATATTTTGGAAAATGGTTTTATTTTCATGTAATAGTTAGATCATATCAATTAAAAATCCACCCTCCTTGCCAATTCCTAACCATGAAAATTTTACTTAATATGATCTAACTGACCTAGAACCAATGAAAGCTGTCAGTCAAAATGTCACATGAATGAGAAATTATTAATGAATTAAATTTGCAATACACAATTTACAATACAAACAAACAAACTGTCACATTACTATGTTAACAAACTGTCATATTACTATATTAACAAACTGTCACATTACTATGTCAACAAACTGTCACAATACAATACATACAAACTGTCACAATACAATCCTAACAAACTTTCATATTACCATGTCAACAAACTGTCAAAATACAATACTAACAAAATTGCACATTACCTTGTCAACAAACTGTCACAATACAATACATACAAACTGTCACATTACTATGTTAACAAACTTTCAAATTACTATTTAAACAAACTGCCACAATACGATACTAATAAACTTTCACATTACCATGTCAACAAACTGTCACAATACAATCCTAACAAACTGCCACAATACAATATTAACAAATTGTCACATTACTACGTCAACAAACTGTTACAATACAATGCTAGCAAACCTTCACATTACCATGTCATCAAACTGTCACAATACAATCCTAACAAACTTTCACATTACAATATCAACCAACTGTCACATTACCATGTCAACAGATTGTCACAATACAATCTTAATAATCTTTCACATTACCATGTCATCACACTGTCACAATACAATCCTAACAAACCTTCACATTACCATGTCATCACACTGTCACAATACAATCCTAACAAACCTTCACATTACCATGTCAACAGACTGTCACAATACAATCTTAACAAACTTTCATATCACCATGTCATCACACTGTCACAATACAATCCTAACAAACTGTCACAATACAATCTTAACAAACTTTCACATTACCATGTCAACAGACTGTCACAATACAATCTTAACAAACCTTCACATTACCATGTCAACAGACTGTCACAATACAATCTTAACAAACTTTCACATTACCATGTCATCACACTGTCACAATACAATCCTAACAAACTTTCACATTACCATGTCATCACACTGTCACAATGCAATCCTAACAAACTTTCATATTACCATGTCAACAAACTGTCAAAATACAATACTCACAAAATTGCACATTACCTTGTCAACAAACTGTCACAATACAATCCTAACAAACTGTTACAATATAATCCTAACAAAATGTCACATTACCATGTCAACAAACTGTCACAATACAATGATAACAAACTGTCACATTACCATGTCAACAAACTGTCGTAATACAATCCTAACAAATTGTCACAATACAATCCTAACAAATTGTCACAATACAATTCTAACAAAGTGTCACATTACCATGTCAACAAACTGTCACATTACCATGTCAACAAACTGTCACAATATAATAATAACAAACTGTCACATTACCACGTCAAAAAGTGTCACAATACAATCCTAACCAACTTTTACATTACCATGTCAACAAACTTTCATAATACAAAATAACAAACTGTCATAAAACAATACTAACAAACTGTCACATTACCATGTCAACAAACTGTCACAATATAATAATAACAAACTGTCACATTACCACATCAAAAAGTGTCACAATACAATCCTAACCAACTTTCACATTACCATGTCAACAAACTTTCATAATACAAAATAACAAACTGTCATGAAACAATACTAACAAACTGTCACATTACCATCTTGACAAACTGTTACATTGTCATTTCAATAAGCTGTCACATGACCATGTTGGAAGTTGGTTATGATTTTGCCTGTTTGAGGTCTGGCAAATAAGTGGCATGTGTTGAAGAGAAATTGTCACAGCGTTTTAACACTCGACTGATAGCACATCATGTGCTGGTTACTTTTTAGTGTATATTTGAGGCAAGTGGCACATAACAACTGCATTCTCTCCTGGTATTCATCGTTTGAACGTCACTGTATCAGCCATTATATGGCTGATCTGAGATTATCGCTGAGCAAAAGGCATGTCGTGTGAGGGGAGTAATGGGTGAGCAAGAATTGCGCCATTGGCGCTAAATTCTCTCTTTGTGCTTGTGTAATGCTGGGATGTCAAGTTGCAATTAATGAAGCCCTCTCATGACGACAGTACCTACCCACACCATGTCTGTCAATCCTGATACCTCCCACCATCCCACCACAATGAGCAATGATATGTTATAATTACTATGTTATTATTGTGAATATTTTTTCTTAAAATTTACTTTTAAAGTGGTAAAGTTTCTGTTGTCCATCAGTTTACTTTCAACCAGTTGTTAGAAATATAGCTAATAACATATGCTCAATGGTAGACCAAATCATCTGACAGACTGACAGACAGCAATATATGTCCACACATTATGTGGGCGTATAAAAAAAAAGATATAAATAGACAATAATTTTTTTTATCTCATTTAGGCAGAATATTTCATTGTTATTTTCATTTCCTTAATATCCTGGCCATGTATTTTTCAAAACAATCTTAGCACTAGGATGTCTTGGGTTCTTATCTTCTAACATTGATTCTAGGACAGCAACATTGATTCTAGGACAGCAACATTGATTCTAGGACATCAACATTGATTACAGGACAGCAGCATTGATTCTAGGACATCAATATTGATTCTAGGACATCCTAGAGCTAAGATCATTTCAAGAATACATGGCATGGCTCTTGATCTCGATTTAATCTTTACAATTTTCCATAGATAACTCAAATATACTTTAATTAAAACATAGATAACTCAAATATACTTAAAACATATTTCTTAATTCTTTTGAACAAAAAAAGACAAATTGTAGTGGATTTATTAAAAAGAAATTATAAATATAATAGTATGAAAAGTCAGAGTTTGGTAGTTTGGCGTTTTCTGGCGCCTACATTTAGCAGTCGTGGATTTTGTGATCCTTCCTTTGCTTTTTTCACTTTTTCAATTCTTTCTGACTGTGAATGTAATTTTTGGAATAACTCAGTGAATTTATTGGAGGCAAACATAGTTTGTAAGACACCTTCCAAACACACATATAATATTCGTTTATTCAGATTCCGGTGTTGAAACATTTCAAATACACGGCTAACACCCAATCTCACTACATCAGCACCAAGTAATGTTTTTAATTCATCTGAAACCAGAAAACAAAATATAAGTTATATTGTCACAATATAGTATTACATGTATGCCCACTTTGACATACGAGAAACCCAGCTTGATCTTGACAGTCCAACAGATGCAATAAGTAGAAAAAATCAACTCCAGAAGTTTTCTTTGGGTTTCCATTTTTGGAATCTAGATATCTTGTTGTTTGTTTATTGTCCCATTTATGTGAAATTCTGTGGAATAACTTTCGGTGTAATTGATATAGGTCAACATTATTTATGCTGCTAGGCAGACAAAGTGATGACAAAAAAAAAAAAAGATAGCTTGCCAGGCAAGGTAATATACGCCCACTGGCGGCTTTGATTTTTATACGCCCACATAAAATGGGGGGCGTATATTGCCGTCACCCATGTCCGTCCGTCCGTCAATTTAGTATAAGTTATTGCCTTTGTTCTTGAAAACGCGTTCAATTTTTAGCTCGTAAACACTCCAGAAAGCACAATTCTTGATGGATTTTGACGAAACTTGGTGTGTGTGTTAGTAATCACCCAAGGATGAATCGAAAAATAATTAGTATGAGTTATTATACGCCCACATGAATATGTGGTCGTATATTGTTGTTGCCCCTCTCCGTCGGTCAACATTTCCTGTGAGCACTATAGAGACTACAGTTTTTATCTGATTTTGATAAAACTTGGTGTGATGCTTTAGATTGATAAGATCTCGGTCAAGTTTGAATTTGACATATTTTCGATGAACGGTTTTTGAGATATTGCCCTTGACTAAGAACACCTTGAAATTTGTTAAAAAATTTTCGTGAGCAGGATTGAAGCTACAGTTTTCATCCGATTCTGATGAAACTTGGTGTGATCATTGGAATTGATAGGATCTCAGACAAGTTCTAACTTGACGCATTTTGATGAACGGTTTTTGAGTTATTGCCCTTGACTTTGTTAAAATGCGTCAAAATTTGTTAAAAATAGTTCGTGAGCAGGATTGATGCTACAGTTTTCAACCGATTCTGATGAAACTTGGTGTGATCATTGAAATTGATAAGATCTCGGACAAGTTCTAACTTGACGAATTTTCGATGAACGGTTTTTGAGTTATTGCCATTAACTTACGAAAGATAGCTTGCGTTGCAAGATAACATACGCCCACTGGCAGCTGTCAGAAATAATAAAACAGTCTTTAGTGACTAAAGTACGAATTTTCTCATATTGAAGAAATTATTTATGCTGAATAATTCCACAAAATTTTTTAAATCAATATCAATAACCCAAATACAACAAACAATTAAATCACACAGCTCTAATCAAGGGCAAAAAACAACTTTTGACGCGTGTTTACAAAGTCAAGGGCAACAACTCAAAAAATGTTCATCAAAAATATCTCTTGTTAGAACTTGTCCGAGATCTTATCAATTCCAATGATCAGAATCAGTTGAAAACTGTAGCTTCTATTGTGCTCACAAACATGATGATGTCACTTTCCTTGGTAGTTGCTAAGTAACATTCCAACATTCTTCTCATGGTAGGAATCCAATATAGCTTCATAAAACGATGAAGGTTCAATAGCCTAAGCTAAGGAAGATACAGTGGGTCCAAAGGTTTAAGAAAATGTTCAATAAAATAGAAGACACACAAACCATTTCACAAAGTTGTGTTGTGCTATAAAGTATATTTGGATCAACTAAAAATGGACCAGTAAAAAACTTTGTTATGTTGTGTCTAAGATTTTGATGTCATAAATGGTCAGAGGTCATGTTATCAAGAATCAAATTGCCTACCACCATTTTGTGATTTGACCCTTCTCTTGTTATGTGGTTTCTAAGATTGTGACGTCATAAACCTTACGACTTGTCTAATGTTTACGATTATGTGCGTTACTCAAAGGCTATCATAAGTGTCACGAATAATCTTAATCGATATGTTAAACTAAGCAGGCACAATACCGACAAGAAAATTGATTTTCTTCGTCAAAGAGGCTACTGAAAATATATCTTTGATAAAAGTAATCTTCATCATCATTGACAGAGAACAATAAAGCAAAATTTTAGAATAAAGCTATAGAAAGTAGTCTGTAGGACTATTTTGGCAAGACCGTTTTGCCAAATTGTTCATTGCAATTAAAAGCGTTCGGAAATTTTGATAAGGCCTACAACTTAAACTAAATGATGACGTTATAGCTGTTTTGACGGCATCGCTGAAGCGAAAAAAAATGGCGTCTTTCAACTGAGACGAAGACGTGGTCAGTGGTCAGCGCCACTTTGACAATTTCCTGCTCAGTTAAAGATCAAATCTGATGTCGAATTATCCTTTTTTCCCATTGATTAGTTATTTATTGTGAAAAAAAGACCATTTGGTTCTACCACCTGATAGTCCAAAAATTACAATAATTTTGATCTTATGATTTTTTGAGAAATGCCATTTACGATCAAATCAATACTTACGACCTACGATTGATTGTAAGATTTTTGAGAAACAGGGCCCAGATCTTTGTGATCCAATGCATGGTTTTTTTTTTGAACATTCATCAGGTGGTAGTAACAAAACTTAATGCTTTAAATCTGTTATGACAATATTATCACTATTGTTTCTCTTATATGGATATATTTCATTATTACAAGCTTAGCTTGGTCATTTAAATATTCATTTAGACCTACCTAGGACTACTACCTACTAGCCTAGTGTCATAGCCCACAAATTTATTAGTCCTTGTAGCCTAATATAAACAATTATCCCATTAATACAATGTGCATTGAATATTGAATGAAATAGCCTAATGTAAGATTCATACCTTGTATAATTTCAGGAATCTGCTTATAGGCCTATTCAATAGCCTATGGAGATCGAAAAGACTATTTTAAAGAAGTAGGGTCTGGAATAGAATCAGAGGTGATCCCATGGAAGTTAATTAGGCTGAGACTATAGGTTATGTATTTGTAGAATTCAGGATCATCAATATGTTCAAGACAGAAGACACTATACACTATAAATTACAATAGGCCTATAGTGTTAAATATGGAATAAATACCAGAAAAAATTTGAAGACCTATAGGATATACCTTTAGTAAAATGTTGAATAAATTGCAAGTAAATTGAAAGTTTCTCACAGATCATCGCAGATCTACTGTCAACAAGACAACAAACTGAAAAGTTTGTACCAATACTGATGGAGTCAATGTTAATTATATTATACTGATACAAACAGCACACTGAATAAAATACAAGTCTTGAAGTTTGTATCGCTTTCTTTCTGTAGGTTACTCAGTGGATTAACCAACAGAAAGAAAGCGATGCAAACTTTAAGATCAGTATTGTTATCAAATTGCAAAACAGAACACGTCTGTTAAGATAGCTGCTTGGACAATGACTACTATTGATGTGTATTCATGACAGAGTTGGTATATCATATATAGTTAACATAAAGATGAGATGACCTGCCAAGCTGTTGTCTAGAGTTGAAGTGAGACCAGGATACTAAGTTCCGCCTTACGGGGTATGCGTGATGCGGTAGACATGATTGTCAAGACGTTACATCCCCCTCCGTTTATATAAAGATTTACTCCCTATGAATATTGTGCACATGAACTTCAGACTATTAAGAAAGTCATAAATATGAAAAGCTTGGCTGATCATAGAACATATTTATATACGTTAAATTTAGCAATATTTTTAGTCAATGTCACACTTTCCCCCCCTTTTTTTCTAAATAACTTAATTCAAATACATAATATTAACACATGTACATAGGACTATTTATAAGTCAAGCTTCGTGGGTGGTTTGACAATACGTCCACTACGAGTTCTTTGAAGTGGTTCTGATGGGGTTTTGGGAGTTGAGTTTTCGGTGTTTTCTGTAGACCGTAAATCTTTATTTTCAGCTTTTCAGGTTTCTTAGGTTGATAATTCTCACACGTATCACTAAATGTAACACGCTTCTTGATGTTAGAACTATTCTGATTCTTTAATAAAGATGCTTTGTATCGCAGCGATTGGAGTTCTTCTGGGTCGCTTTCGAGTAGGAATTTTTGATTTCTTCGCAATCTTGAACGTTAGAAAGTAATACTTCATAAGATCGTGATTCATCTAATTTGTTGATAACTCATGAAGGGGTCCATGAATGGTTTCTGTTTTGGACTCTTGACGTATTGTCCTGTATACAGTTCTGGTAATTCACTTTTCGCACACCTGTCATAGTACTGTTTCTGTGTTTCTTGGCGTGCTAAGAGTTCATCTCGAGTGTTGTCACAATATGGTGGTGAGACACCGGTCGGTAACTTGCTTCTAAATTTCCTTCCACTAAGAAGTTCGGCTGGACTTGGAATGCGCGAACTAATTGGCGTTAATCGGAACATATATAAAGCTTGGTCGAACAACGTGTCTGACTCGATAGATTTAATCAAAAGTCTTTTCACAGTTTGTACACAACGTTCGATATATCCATTTGACTGAGGGTATCGTGGGCTGCTAGTAACGTGTTTAATGTTAAATCGATCACAAAAACTTTTGAATGAACTACAGTGAAATTGCGGTCCATTATCATATATGATTTCTGCTGGGAAACCATGTTCACTGAATATAGATATCAAAGTTTGTTGTACGTCATTTGAAGTCATGCTTTTCAGGAATCTGACGAAAGGAAACTTGCTGTAAGGATCACTCAGCAGTAGGTAACTGTCACCTTTCTACTGGAATAAGTCTGTACATACCCGTTGCCATGGCCTTGAGGGTACCTCCAATGGCAACAGCGGTTCTTTGTTGTTTGATCTGGAATTTTCTTGACATGTGGTGCACCTGATAAAGTTTTCAATATCTTTATTAATTCCACTCCAATATACATGATCTCTTACAAGAAGTCGGGTTTTCTCGATGGCTAGATGACCTTCGTGTAGTTTGAACAGTATGTCCTTTTTCATGCTACTCGGTATAACAATTTGTTGTCCTTTCAACACAATACCGTCGTGTACGGATAAAAGGTCCCTAAGAGAGTAGTACTGACGAAGTGGTCTGCTTACTTTGCGAATATTTTCTGGCCATCCAGTGATGATAAGTTCCTTGAGGGGTGAGAGAATTGGGTCAAGATTTGTTTCCTGTAACAATTTAGGTTGCGTGGTTTCACTGCACGGGAAATGAACCCGTACATCTAGATTAATTTCTGGGTCAACACGTATAGGGTTTATTAACCTAGAAAGGCCATCTGAGAGAATCATTCCAACACCAGGTTTATACACAAGTTCCATTTGGTACCCTTGGATCCTTAATAAAATTCGTTGCATACGTGGAGGGGCTTGCAATGTTTTTTTGCGTTATCATTAGCAACGGTTTGTGGTCCGTCTCTAATGTAAATTTCTTACCGTATATATATGTATGAAATCGCTCAATGCCAAATACAACAGCCAACATTTCACGCTCAATGTTTGTTCAGTTTGAGAAAGTGAACATGTTCATTAAAGACACGTAAATCTTAAAGGTTCAAATCAAATACCATTCGTCAAAAAAGTTTTGACTTAATCAGGGAAAGAAACAAACTAAAAATCATCAGTGAGATTCCAAAACCTTGTTAGTCAGAATTTTTAAAAAATCACTTTTTAGTTTTATTTTCAATACATTTAAACGAAATATCAAACGACTGAGCCAATTAGATTTTGTTTAGTCATATGATGAAAACTCATTTTTCTATTGGTGGTGAAAATTTGTATATCCACAATATCATATGTACCCAGTGATAAATCTGCTCATGTTGAAGTTTCTGCTCCTGGAGGTGGCATTGACGGAAGCAGTGAACTAGTATATCATTTGAAGAAGAATGATATCAGATTAAAGGTATGTAAACAAATGTTCTTGAATACTTTAGATGTTGGAGAGAAGATGGTTGGACAGAGCAATCTGAAAATCACGAAGCTTTACAAAATGCTGATTTAGAACCACAAGATCAACAAGATGAAGAATCCACTATGACATCCGAAAAAGGGCCAAACTCAGAGAAGGTGTCTCAAAGGTCGGAGAAGGTGTCTCAAAGGTCGGAGAAGGTGTCTCAAAGGTCAGAAAAGGTGTCCCAGTAAAGGATGCTAGAATCACTGCCTCATTTACCTAGTCATTACTGTAGATCTGTTATTTGTAACCTGTGTTTGCTGATATGTATGAATTGTATCAGACAGGGGGAAAATTCTTTTGTCTAGACCATTACATCCAAAATCGCATTGAGCAAACCCCAGATATTAAGGAGATAATAATAAATTCTGAAGGTTGCACATATCAAAACCAAAATGTCATCTTATCAAACATGTTATTTAAAGTGTCTGTTGATCTGAACATTACTGTTACACAAAAGATTCTTGAAAAGGGTCACACCCAAATGGAATGTGATTCAGTGCATAGTCGGGTAGAATGTAATGTAAAGAAACAGCAGATATACACCGCCCAAAATTACATTGATATTATAAAATCCTGCAGAAGTATTGTTCCCTATAAAGTTAAGTACCTTTCACATTCCTTTTTTAAAGATTTTTCATCTCTAAAATACTATTCTTCAATTCGTCCTGGAAGGGCTGTTAAGGGAGCTCCGGTTGAGCCGGAGGTATTAAAATATAGACCAGATGGTTCTATTGGATATAAGCTGTTTTTTGAAAAAGATTTTTAACTGTTTCCCAGCAGTTCACGATCAGAAAACCTATCTGCAGATGATGTAACTCCTACTTTGTAAACTGATACCACTGGACAATCACTCCTTCTACGATAATCTAATCCATAAATGCTACTTACTAATTCCGATGAATTGTTCTTCAAACAGAAATTACCATATACAGTCAAGGCTTTGGATGTCAGTTTTAAGCTACTACTCACTGTGCTAAATTGGTTGACTAGCAAGATATGCCCACTTTCCTGATACATTTTCAGTATATCAAGGGTGGTCACCAATCTGTGTCAAAAATCTAATTTGTGCAAGATATAGTTGATTTCATCAAACACACAAAATTCAATAAAATTCTGACATAAACTACATCTATCGCATTGACAAGCCAACATATTTTGATGCAATTTTTTTCCTACGTCAAGGCAATAACTCAAAAACGTTCATCGAAAGATAGCCAAATTCGAATTTGTCTTAGATCTCATCACCATAAATTATCACACCAAATTTCATTTAAATCGGATGAAAATTTTAGTCTCTATTGTGTTCACAAACAAATTTGGATGAGTTTTTACTAAGTCATTTCATTAAAATCAGATGTAAACTGTAGTCTCTATCCCGTTCACATACAAATTGTGGACGGACGGACTGACGGACATTATAATGTGGGCGTATAAAAATCATCTTTGGCTGTAAATTTAGTTAACATTTTTTGGATTTTGATATTATTTAATGTATGTCTTGTTGGAATTTTGATGATTATTTGTATTAAACACCAAATCCAAAATATATTAAGTCTGACAATTTTCCAAATTCAAAGAACCAAAGTCTTGTATGTCTCTTCCCAATGACTTTCCAACCACATAACAAGACAAGGGTCAAATCACAAAATGGTGGGAGGCAATTTGATTCTTGATAACATGACCTCAGAAGATTAATGACATCAAAATCTTAGATACAACATAACAAGTATGTAATGATGACTTCAGGATTTGCCAAAAAATCTAAACAGGAAGGGAAAATAAGGGGGGGGGGGGTTACATCCTAACTTTTCTAACTTTTCAATATGGTATGATATAGGCCTACCGGTACCAAATAAATTAGAGGGCTGGGATCATGCCTGCATCACTGTTATTTTTTATTCAAACAATACTGAAGAATGACAATATTGATTTTTTTATGCAAAGACAGGTCTAGAATGTGAACAAAAAGAACAAAAAGGCACAGTAAATTTTTTTACTTCACTTCCAGTTTAAATGGAAAATCGATTTTAACTTCCAGTGTTATAAATAAATGTTAACAAAATTTTGCTCATGGGTAGCCATGAAGATATTTCTTCATAAATATAAATAAATAATAAAACTTATGTCAAAATAAACCATTTATTCCTCCAACCTTTCGTGTGTCTAAAAACACACTTCTTCAGAGAGTCCTAAACCAACACAATGGCTGTTATATGTCATGATGTATAATAAGTTTTATGGTTAATTCAGTGTCAGAATTTCCCACTTCACTACTGCACCACACCAAGAGGATTGATTCTACAGGTACTTCATTATTGTGTTGTTTTTTTCATCTCAATTAAAGCAAATGGTACTCACCAGGAACACTGCCTAACATTTTAGCTTTACAATATATTCTAGTCCTCATTTTGGTATTAATATCACGATTAGTTCTGGGCTCAGCTAAAATACCATTAGGCCAAAAAGAATCTCTGAAAATGTAATACATATTTCAAATTAAATTATCAAAAAAATATAATCTTTGGTCTAAAATCAAAGCCATTTTTAGGATTAAAGGGACAGAAAACACCATCTGTGTGACCAATCTTACCTTAGTCTGAGAAACAGGCATTTTTTAATTAAACTTATAGGTAATAGCCTAGTAAAAACTTGTAAATCTGTTGAATGTTGTAAATCTGTTGAATGTTGTAAATCTGTTGAATGTTGTAAATCTGTTTCTAGTGAATTATCATGTATTCGTAATTGTGGGACTTTGCTTTCAGCTTGTTTGTTATCGAAATGTCAATTCTTTTTTTTTTTTTTTTTTTTTTCGATTTTTACACACCTTCCTGAGCTTAGACTACAATAGTTGCAGCAACCATTCAACATTCACAAACCTTAGATATAGGCGACGATGTGCATAAATATATTTTGGATCTTTTTTGCAAAACCGGAAGTGCCACAGTTCAATATGTGCAAGAATAGATAATCGGCTCTAGAAGTCGTATTTTTCGGTCGATTTTCTTTTGGTTTGCATTTTTGGAATCTACTGTTAAAATCTGAAAGAATAGCAGTTTCAAAATTTCAAAATTCGAAAATTTGTCGCAGACATTTTTTTTGCCAAATTTTGCATTTTTTTCATTTTTTTTGCTTTTTGTCTGATTAATCTGAAAAAAATTGAGCAAAGACAGTTTAAGAATGTAAACAAAATGGTACAGTCAAATTTTCAATTTCACTTCCGGTTTAAACAGGAAAACGATGTTCACTTCCGGTTGAATATCTTCCGGTGTAATTTGTATAGGACAAAAATTTTTATGCTGATAGGTAGACAAAGTTATGACGAAGAAAAAAAAATCCGGAACACACGTGAAACTTTGGCCGCCATTTTGATTTTTCTGAAATGATTCCATTTTTATTCAGACATAATGGCTCATCCGATTTAAATGATTTTGGTGTCAAATGAAAGAAGATAAAAAAAAAACATGACATTAGGAAGTCGTTTTTCGATTCTCAATTTTACTTTTTTGCAACATCCGGTTGAATTTTTTCAAAGTTTGAAGGGTCATATCTCGTGATCTTGAATTTTGATGACCTTGACCTTCATAAGGTTAATATCATAAGGTTAGCTATCGGTTAATACTTTGACATTTGACCTCCGACATGTACTTCCAGTTTTATAGCTGTCCGAAAACAGCCAAATTGGCAACTTTGGACTGCTCTAGCACGTGACCTAATTAACCTAGAGGGTTAATTTTTTCGGATTCTTAATGTGCTTTTCATGCTCTTTCAAATGATTTATAACAATCGTTTTTTAAAGCAAAATTGAAATTCGTTAATTTTTCAAGAGTTTTTTTTTTACAATATTTCTGTTTCTTTGAGCTTGGTGTGTATATATCTTATGACCTATTTTATGTAGAACATTGAAACTTGGAACACAACAAGACAATTTGAATATAAATTAACCTATGACAAAAAAGTTGAGGTTGGCGTGGCACATCCGGGTTGAATTACTAATTGTTTACATTTTGAGAAAGGGGCATAACTCGCATAGGATACATTTGTTCAAAAAGGAACTTTGCACACAATTACCTCATTATTTTGGCCAGTTTGTGTTAATAGGTCAATTGTTTCAGCTTTATAGTTCCAAAAAAGGAACGGGTTTTGAAATTTCTATATTTTCAATTTTCTATTTTGACCTTTATTGACTCTTGTTGACCTATATCTTTTGACCTGTATGATGTAGAAGCTTTAAATTTGGAACACAACTTAACATTCAGAATATCAATTAACCTATGCAAAAGAAATTGAGGTGGGCCTAGCACATCCGGGTTAAATTACTCATTATTGACAATTTTGGCAAGGGACATAACTCGCAACGTATACATTTGTTCAACATGGAACTTTGCATACAATTACTTCATCTGTTGAGCCACATTGGCTTGGAAGTTCGATTGTTTCAGCTTTATAGTTCAAAAAAAGGAACAGCTTTTGAAAATTCAAAATTTTCAATTTTTGACCTTGACCTTTTTTGACCCTGATTTTTGTAGGATTAAAGGTCATTCACATTGGCTATCTATTTATACTTTTATATTTGCTGTCCTATCTCAACTTCCGGTTTTATAGCCGTATATATTTAAAAATTTTGATGACTTCTATCTCATAACCTTGACCTTTTTTGACCGTCTCCCTTTCAATGTCAAATGTCATTGACCTTGGCTATCTTCTGATACTTTCATTTGTGAGGTCTGTCTACTTCCGTTATAACAATCTTCCAAAGAATTCTTCTCAACTTTAGACAGCTCTTGCGCGTGATGTAATTATCGTAGAAGGTTGATTTTTTCAGAGTCTTTTGCATTTTGCTACATTTGCAAAGTCCCACTCTGTGCCACGTGTGGCTCTAGTTGTGTTTGTTATCGATTTTTTCAATTTCGTAAGCGAACGCCCTGCTTTGTTTTCGTATTGATTTTTTTTTTTTTTTTTCTTCTACGGCAGGCCGGTTTTCTCGGCAACGGCAACAGGTACGGGAAAACGGACTTCATGGCGTTTTGTAACTCGTGGCTAATCACAGTTTAAATGTAAAACGAAAATTTTCTGAGCAACATTATGCAACGTTGCAACAAACGGAAAATGGACTCTAGAGGGCGTGTTTATCAACCGATTTTGATCGGGTTTTCTGCATCATATTTCTTGTAACAAAGGACAAATGATAGCAGTTGAAAATTTTCGATTTTCGAAAATTCGTTGCATACTTTTTTTTGCCGAAATTAATCGAAAAATACTATTTCGGTTGTTATCGGACGGATTGACTTGAGACTTACGTGGTGTAGACCGCCAGCATAGAGACGTAAAAGTACACATTCAAATTTTTTTGATCACTTCCGGTTTCGATGTTAGTACTTCCGGTGGTATCACTTCCGGTGGAATTGAGTTATGTCAAAAATAACATATGCATTATATTACCAGCCTTAATACAAACTTATTAAACTAAAATAATTCGCACCGGAAGTAACATGTTGGTCGCCATTTTGGTTTGCCTCATTTTGCAGAAATTGCTACTCAGAGGCCATTTTTCATCCGATTTGCATAACATTCGTGTCAAACGATACGTTTAATGTCTGTCTACAATCCTTAGGCAGCATAATTTTGATTTTCGGTTTTGCCTTTTTTGTATGACCGGATTGTTTTTTTTCAAAGTTTGAAGGCGTATATCTCATGACCTTGACCTTTGATGACCTTCATATTTACTGTGATAATAATTTGTGTCCTTGTCTATCTGATGGCCTTTTGACCTTTGGGGTCAGATACCTATTTCCGATTTTACAGGGGTCTAAATATGGACCATTTTGAGCCTTTAAAGTGCTCTATCTCGGTCCCTAATAGAGATATGGCAATAATTCTTTCGATTTTGTAATGTAGAGATTCTCAGCTTTCTATAGATATACAACATGCATGCCTTACATGCAAATTCAAAACTCCATTCACTTAACATGGGACTATTATTAGATAATTCGGCTAATTAGATTAACCTGGCTGTCAACCCCAACAGAAATCAAATTTTAAGTTGTTTTAAAGATACCCTGCCTTTTATATTTCTTAAAAATGATCTTTGTTCAGTTATGGTATAAAATTAAGCTCTCGGGTGGATTGAATCATGTCATATTTTAGTTTAAGCTCACGGCAGCATATTGAAGGTATACCTCCACTTAATTTACCAACTTTCTCATTTCTTATCCGATTTTCATCAAACTTGGTATGTATGTGTATAATTAAATTCTAAATTTGATGGAATTATCGAATTTGAGTAGTGCACATGCGCATTACCAACTTTCTTATTTCTTGTCCGATTTTCATCAAACTTGGAATGTATGTGTATAAACAAATTCTAAATTTGATGGAATTATCGAATTTGCGTAGTGCGCATGCGCATTGCAAACTTTCTTATTTATTATCCGATTTTCATCAAACTTGGTATGTATGTGTATAATCAAACTCTAAATTTGATGGAATTATCGAATTTTTGTTGAGCGCATGCACATTACCAACTTTCTTATTTCTTATCCGGATCTCATCAAACTTATTCTTTATTAATTGACAAATATTCTTTTATTCCTAGTAAATATACTTTAAACTCCAGGCACTTTTGGATATTTGCATTTAGAGATGCAGAAAGGTATTTACATCAATGTAATTGCAATAGACCATCTTCGTATGTACCTGAATGTCGTAACCCGCCCTGCATCAGTACTGTTATTAGAACAGTTCTAGTTTTTTTTTTTTTCGATTTTTACACACCTTCCTGAGCTTCCTGAGCTTAAAATCTGAAAGAATAGCAGTTTCAAAATTTCAAAATTCGAAAATTTGTCGCAGACATTTTTTTTGCCAAATTTTGCATTTTTTTCATTTTTTTTGCTTTTTGTCTGATTAATCTGAAAAAAATTGAGCAAAGACAGTTTAAGAAAGTAAACAAAATGGTACAGTCAAATTTTCAATTTCACTTCTGGTTTAAACAGGAAATTGATGTTCACTTCCGGTTGAATATCTTCCGGTGTAATTTGTATAGGACAAAAAATTTTATGCTGATAGGTAAACAAAGTTATGACAAAAAAACGAAGAAAAAAAAATCCGGAACAGACGTGAAACTTTGGCCGCCATTTTGATTTTTCTGAAATGATTCAGATTTTATTCGGACATAATGGCTCATCCGATTTAAATGATTTTGGTGTCAAATGAAAGAAGATAAAAAAAAAAACATGACATTAGGAAGCCGTTTTTCGATTCTCAATTTTGCTTTTTTGCAACATCCGGTTGAATTTTTTCAAAGTTTGAAGGGTCATATCTCGTGATCTTGAACTTTGATGACCTTGACCTTCATAAGGTCAAAGGTCATTGACCTTAGCTATCAGTTAATACTTTGACAGTTGACCTCCGACATGTACTTCCAGTTTTATAGCTGTCCGAAAACAGCCAAATTGGCAACTTTGGACTGCTCTAG